ATTTTTTTGCCTGAAAGATTTAAGAGTAAGATGCAGACATGATTCCCTTTATTCTCTAAATTCTTCAAAACCCAATGAATGCTTTTTTAACAATATACTGAGTTGACAATTTGGTCCTTCTGGAACTACTCTCTTCCTTCCATTGGTTTCTAGGACTTAAGGCACCTGATTTTCCTCTTCTCTCCAGCCATTTCTTCTCTCTCCCTTTGCAGGCTCATCATTATAGACCCAGCATTTAATTCTTAAAGTTCCTCAAAGTTCAGTCCTAGGCCATCTTCTCTTTTGAACTCTATCCTTAGGGGACTTTTCCTTCACTCACTCACAAAGATACAATCATCTACACTCACACTTGGCAATTTTCTATCTCTAGCCAAGATTTCTATCCTGAGAACAAGAACCATATAAATCCATCTGTTTATCTGATACTTGGATAGCTCACAGTATCTCAAACTCAACCTTTCAAACTTAACTCATCAACTTTCCTCACAAGCATGCTCCAACTCTACCATTATTTAAGTAAATTGCATTAGTAGTTACCCATCTTTTTAGTGCCTGAAACCTGAAGACATCTCCAATACATTTTCTCCCTCATCCCTATATTGGATTCTCCTTCTAAGTCCTATAGATACTACCTTTGAACACTCTATCAAATCTGTCTACTTCTGCCCACCCCATAGTTACAATCCAAGCCTTCTATAATTACTCATCAGGATTCCTGTGATAGGGCCATTCTCCTCTGTGTAAAACCCTCAAATGCCTCCTGTTGTCCTTAAGATAATATCCAAAATCCTTACCAATCTGACCCATGCATTCTTCTCCCAATCTCATCAGGTGCCATCCTAGCCTTTACTTTCATAGCTTTCTATCAATTCTTTAAAAGCATCAAGTTCTTTCCTGCCTCTGAGTCTTCAAAGATGCTATTCCTTCTGCACTGAATGTTCCTCTGATCCTCTTTAGTCTTTTAAGAATTTAAATGAAATTTCCTCATAGGTCCTCCCAAACACATGCTCAGAGTATCCTATATTTCTCATTCATGACATTTATTAAAATTGTAATTAACCAGTTAATTGTGCAACTATTTAATACGCATTTCTCAAATTTAGACTTACAACTCTTTGGGAGTAGAGACTTACCTATTTTATCCCCATATCCCCAATTATATAATAGGCCTGGCACATAGTGGGTGAAATAAATTTACCAGCTTGTGTATAATTCTAGAGGGACCCTGTACTCAGCTGCCACCATCAAAAGGGGAGATATTATTATGAAAAGACATTTTTTCTTATATGTTTTAAATCATTTTTTAGGCCATCATCATTAATAGGTAAATATATATAGCTCCTGGGACTGGCATTCTAATAGTCTAGTAACATAGTGATAGCTCAAAACTTCATCAAATGGTTAAATACCTTGGGCTATAGATAAAAAAAAATTGCTTCTGCAAACTCATAATTCACGTTTTTTTCTAGAGCAAAACTGAAGGTATAGGTTTTAGGTATTGAATATTCAATAATATTTTATTTATCATGGGGAAATTAATATAGTATTATGCAAATATTCTCAAATCTAATATTTCAACGTTTTTATTACATAAAGTTAACGTAGCAAACTGAATTATATAGTTTTTATCATATTAAGAATTTGTAAAGTAAGTATTAAGCCACAGATGGCAAATGATCAAGAAACTGTAGCCAGGTGCAATGGCTCACGCCTGTAACACTGTAACACTCTGGAAGGCCAAAGTGACAGATTACCTGAGCTCACGAGTTCGAGACCAGCCTGAGCTAGAACAAGACCCTGTCTCTACAAAATGACTGGGTTCTGTGGTAGTAGCCTGTGATCTTGGCTACTCCAGAGGCTGAGGCAAGAGAATCACTTGAGCCCAAGAGTTTCAGGTTGCTGTGAGCTATGATACCACAGCGCTCTACTGAGGGTGACAAAGTGACACTCTGTCTCCAAAAAAAAAAAAAAATTTCCACAGGTGTTATTTGTTCTAGAGACAGTACCTGAAATACAATCCTATACTGCCCCCCATCATAAATCACAATTAACATATGTTTTTCATTAGAACAACTGAACAATTGGAAGTTGTTTTTGATCAATCACTCAATATCAATTAAATTCAAGCTAAATTAATGTGATAAAAGACAAAATTCCATAAATATAAACTCTGTAATACTTTTAAATTATAAAATTATGCTTCAGGTTCTATAACATGAGTATAAATGTACTATGTACACCAATGATGCAAATAGCCCCAATGTTCTATAGATGTGAAGCCAAAATTCAAATAAATTACACCACAAATTTGAAATTGTTTTAAGCCTGTCATTTACATTTAAAGAAAAGTTGCTTTGAAAAGTATGAATTTAGGTCTAGCTATTAAATTTCAGAGCAAAAAGGTGGTCAAAATTATAGTAGAACCTTCACAGTTGAGGACCTCACTACATTAACTACCTCCGTATGTTTACATAATTTTCATTTACCCTAGGTAAGTCTTCAGGGTAACAAAATCTGCCCTATACAGGGTGTACTATAACCACGATCAAACAATAGAAGTATTTTAAATTTAGCAATAAAATCTTCTTTAAAAATTGCTGTGTTAACAGTTAACTTTGTGAAGATGAATGTGTCAGTACCCTGCTTGAAAAGATACAATTTAATTATACCAACATTTTACCAACACAAAATCAACCTCAAGTAAATTAAGATTTTTTTTGACTTGACAGTGTTCCCTATATTGTGAGTTTGAAGTGTAAAAGTTTACTATAGCATTCATTAAGAATATATGAAGCACATCTGTTATACCTAATTATGTCTAACAATACTCCAATCCCCCTTTTGCTTGTGATGCTATGTTGTGGGTCTGGAGATGAGGGAGGAAGCATTTGGTGTTAGCAGCTATCTAGGAGAATGCAAAAGATGTTTTGGAAGTAAGATACTTTCGTAAGAAAGAAACTTTTTTCTACTTAACAGAACACAAAACATTTTTGTGACCAAATGTGTGTAGGGGTTTTTCCCCACACACCAAGCAATTCTCCAGCAGACATCCTATAATTTAATTTAATTCTGACACTACCTGGAGATAGCACACATGTACGTATCAGTACAGTAGGCCTAGTTCCTTATATTGACCACCTCCGTATGTTGACCAGTTTGTTGCAGTCCAGTGGGTAGTCAACTTACATAGGTCCTACTGTAGTATTCTACAGTCTGCAGTGACTTTTCTCTACCACTAGATGGTACTATCAGCTTCAGAAATCTAGGGAATAAAATAGGAGCCATTTATATTAAACAGTATATATTAATCATCCTTCTTAAATAGCTCAAATGTCCTATCCCACTATGCTCATATACATGTATTCATCAGATCATGAGTCTCAATCTTCACCTTAACATATATGGTCACTATAACTTAAAAATTATCAAATAAACACACTTAAAATATGAAGTAATAAAAGGTAGGAAAGTTTAATCTTTGACAAAGGATTTTTTTTACTTAATTCTAGAATTAAGTGAGAAAAAACAAAACCAGAGGAAAAGCACTATAAAGGTTTTTCAGTCGTACTTTTTCATCTCAAAAACATTCTCTTATTATTTATCTCATCTGCTTACTTTTAAAACTAGATTTTGCTAATGACTGTATTTTTAATCAGTACTTTAAAGTATTTGGATTAGTCTGGATTCCAGAAGTAGAAATAATACTATTTTGTATTATAAAAGCCAAGATCTAAGAGATCAGAAAGGGCCACAATTTTTTTTACTTTTTAATTTAGATTTAATTGCTTTTAAATTTTATTTTATTTTATTAAATCATAGCTGTGTACATTAATGCAGTCATGGGGTATAGTGTGCTGGGTCTATATACAATCTGAAATATTTTTATCCAACTGGTTAACATAGCCCTCATGTCATTTTCTTAGTTATTGTGTTAAGACATTCATATTCTACATTTAGAAAGATTCACACTTACCCTTATAAGATGAACCATAGGCGTGGTCCCACTACTCATCATCCCTCTACCCATCCTCCCCCCTCCCCTCTCCTTCTCCCCTTTCCCCATATTTTTGGGCTATAATTGGGTTATAGCTTCCATATGAAAGCTATAAATTAGTTTCATAGTAGGCTGAGTACATTGGATACCTTTTCTTCCATTCTTGAGATACTTTGCTAAGAATATTTTCCAGCTCCATCCATGTAAACATGAAGGAGGTAAAGTCTCCATCTTTCTTTAAGGGTGCATAATATTCCAGGGCCACAAATTTTAATAACCTATCTCTAGTAGGCAAGTCTTTTGACAGAGGCTAGGCTCGAATCCACCACCTCTGGTATATGGGGCCAGTGCCCTACTCCTTTGAGCCATAGGCGCTGCCCCACATGTGAATTTTTTAAAAAAGTACTATAATGCAAATAAGAATTTAACAGAAAATGTGATCACAAAATGTACTAGTACTCCCAAGTTCATATTATTTGTAATATCTACAGTAGTAAAATCTCAAATATTATCCTTACACACATATATCCACTAGCATCATTTCTTACATAAAGATAAACAAATTTTCAATGTACATTTTAAGAACTTTGAGGTAAAAACTTTCTTAAAAATTCAAAAATCTTTTTCACTATGCACATTCATTTAACACTTTTCTAAATTTTTAAATGTACTTAATACTGAGATATATCTTATGGTAAAAGTAATATAGTATAATTTACTCATTTTACTCAAATTTTTTCTTGGAACTGAAAAGCGGCTGAACGACGTACCTTCAGAATTATGTGCAGTTTTCTTGTGTTTCCGGCAATAAACCCTAAAAGAATGAAGAATTTAAAAAATTATCAAGTGAGCAAACTAAACTCACTTTTCAAATTAAGAAAATGACCAGTGCACTTAATCCCATTCACAAGCTGGATTCAAAAAATATTACATGTCCTACACCATTTCTATAGGTATGAAATTCCTTATCAAAACAACCTTTAAGAGATGATGAAATGTTTTGAAATGGGAAAAAGTTTTATAAAAATTTAAAGAGAGTATGATTGTTACAAAACAAAAACTTAAAGAGAAGTTAAATAATTACATGTAAATTCCTTGTGAAGGCTTCTCTCGTATTTGAGCTTTATCATGCAACGCACAGTGGTAGTGGTATGTCCTGTGACAAGTTTTCACGTCACAACCAATTGTTGCTCCAGGACAATGGCACAAAGAACACATCTACAGCAAAATAAAATAGTAATATTAGCACGTGACTTTTTAAGGCTATATCACGTTAGAGGCATATCAATTTCTGTCAAGAAAAATAAATTAGTTACTGAAAAAATTTGTAATTAATGTTATTTTTTTCTCTCTCCAAAAAATACTTTGAATACAATTTTTTCTGAGGATATTTTTCCCCATGTTAAATAAAAAACTGAAAGAGAAGTTAAATAACTGACAAAATTAATAGAATATGATGTCTAATTCCAGAGAAAAATTATCCTTAAAATTAGTACTCAATCAATGAGAATTTTGGGGACAAAAAATCTCACACACTATTTGAAAACCTGGTAAAATCAATTTAAAGTGAGAGAAAGAGGATAAAAAATTAGGTAGTTTGTCCTCCCTCTTCAGTTTGAGGGAAGGTAATTTTTTTAATAACTCAACCTCTGTCAATATTTTATGATGCCAGGTTATACTGTGAAAATATGCTTGTCTCCTTCAATTTAATCTCTTACTTACCTCTTGTGTTATGAATTCAAGCAAACAGATAAAAGAACATTCTTTTAATATATTTTAATATACCTTACCTTCTGTTTTTTATTGGATAATTCATATCGATTTACTAGTTCATGCTCTAGATTTAGAAAAAAAGTCCTTTAAAAGAAATACATAACAATCACTGTCGGTGGTTTTGTTTGACATGTCACAGTGTACTGTACAGAATGAACTTTTAATGAGGCTATTTCCTAAGCTGTAAATGTCATGCCAAAATAGATTCACAATAAGTAAATCTTAAATACTTGTAGTTTGTTTCTTGTTTGCTAGATACCTTGTTCTAAACTGTTCCCATTCCTCTTTATTAATCAGAACATAAAGAACACTTTTCATCCTAACTTTTAGATTACTTAGCCCCTAAGCAATTTTGGTATACCAAAAGACTAATATAAATTCCAATACAATTTCTTATGTTTTTCTAAGTCAAACACTCAAACTCTTTCTCAAGCTATCATAAAAAATACTCGTATGTGTCATAAACAGAAACACTCTCGATATAGTTACTTCTCAGAAAACATGGGGGCTGGTGTCATAATTACTACTCAAGAAATACCCCACTTCCTTAAATAAATATAGAAACTTCAAATTATAACTGTACAAAGAAATACTGTGCCAAATTATCAAGCAGGGAAAGCTTTTGGATGTCTTCATAAATTCATAAGGAGGTAGCGCGTTTGAACTGCAACTTAATCATGAGGTTCTATTATTTTATGTAGTAGAAATTACATTTCTGATCTAAAATCATACTTATAGAAATTTTGGAAAACGCAAAAGAACACAAGTAAAATTAAAAAATGAGTCATATTCATCAAGCAGAGATTCCTTATAATGTTACAATGCTCATGTGAAATATTTTTTGTGTGATTCTACATATGCTATTTTGCAACATAATCTTTTGACTTAATAAATCGAATATTATCCAACATCAAGAATTCTGCTGCAAGAAGTTTACCTTAACACTTACACATAAAACAGATTTGGATAGGTACACTTTGCGAAAACTCACTGAATTCAGTTAGCAAGCAAAACTAAAAGGAGAGGTGCTGTTAAAAATACTGTATTGAATTCAACATTGGCAAAGACACAGTGAGATGGGCACTCTTATATACTGCTGTAAATTGGTACCCACTCCTTAAAACGCAATTTCCTTTATTTATCAAAGGCTTTTTAATTTGTATAATCTAATCTAATAATTTTACCTCTATAAATCAGGTCAAAAAATAATTAGACTTAACCAATTCATGTACAAGCACATTCATTGCAAAATTATTTAAAACAATTCAAATAGCTGGCCAGTATGGAAAACAACTGAAAAAATGTTAAATAAATTTAAGTATACACATATGAAGGAATTTGTTTGTTTGTTTGTTTGTTTTGTTTTTGGCCAGGGCTGGGTTTGAACCCACCACCTCCGGCATATGGGGCCGGTGCCCTACTCCTTGAGCCACAGGCACTGCCCAAGGAATATTCTATATTCATTGTTTAAAAAAAAATTCTAATGGTACAGGAAAAGATTTACGTGTATTAAGTGAAAAGATGAGGCAGGATACAAAAATATGTGAATTATGATCCCAAGTGTGTTTGTAACATATATTCTTTGAAAATAGGTGGAAGCAAATATAGCAAAATGCTGACTGGCTATTTCTGGGTAGTTTTCTTTACAATTCCCCATATTTTCTTTCCTTTTCTCTCTCTCTCTCCAATTTTTTTCTTTTGAGACAGACGCACTCCCTGTGCCCTGGCTAGAGTGCAGTGGCATCACTGCAACCTCAACTCCTGAGCTTACGTGATCCTCTTGCTGCAGCCTCCTGAGTAGCTGGGAGTACAGGGGCATGGTACCATGCCTGCATAATTTTTCTATTTTTTGTAGAGACAGGGACTTGCTCTTATTCAGGCTGGCCTCAAACTCCTGAGCTCAAGGAATCCTCCCACTTCAGCCTTCCAGGGTGCTAGGATTACAGGGTTGAGCCACTGTACTCAGCCACAATTCCCTGTATTTTCTCATTTTTTTTTCTATACTGAACAAAAGTCCTTTTATATGTAAATTTTTTTTAAAAAATCGGGAATACTCAGCAAATGTTTTCTTTTTTTTTTTTTTCTGAGACAGAGTCTCAAGCTGTCCCCCTGGGTAGAGTGCTGTGGCATCACAGCTCATAGCAACCTCCAACTCCTGGGCTCAAGCGAGCCTCCTGCCTCTGCCTCCCAAGTAGTTGGGACCACAGGCGCCCGCCACAACGCCTGGCTATTTTTTGGTTGCAGCCGTCATTGTTGTTTGGCGGGCCCAGGCTGGATTTGAATCTGCCACCTTAGGTGTATGTGGCTGGCGCCTTAGCCACTTGAGCCACAGGCGCCAAGCCAGCAAATGTTTTCAATACCTTTCTCTGAGTTTGGTGAAAATGAGATGGAAGCTGAAAGCTCAAAATATATCAGAATTGTTGTGGGTTGATTATAAATTCAAATCTGCACAATGTAATTTGTTTCAGGCTGCTACAGTGAAATGAATCTACTATGCAAATAACCAGGTAACTACAGCAACTTAGAACAGGTGATATTTTTTAAAGCTTATTTTTATTGTCAATTTCACTCAAGGAAGAAGAGAAAGAGAAAGGCACACTAATAAAAATATTTTCAGGCTCAATGCCTGTAAGCTCAGCGGCTAGGGTGCCCACCACATACACTGAGGCTGGGGGGTTAGAACCCAGCCCAGGCCCTGCCAAGCAATAATGACAACTACAACAAAAAAATAGCTAGGCACTGTGGCGGGCCACTGTAGTCCCAGCTACTTGGGAGGCTAAGGCAAGAGAATCACTTGAGCCCAAGAGTTTGAGGTTGCTATGAGCAATGATGCTACAGCACTCTATACTGAGGGTAACAAAGTGAGACTGTCTCAAAAAAAAAATATATATATATATATAAATATTTTTCAGAAGGGAAAATTCTTTTCAAGATTAGGAGTAGGAATTTTGCTGAATTAGAATTTATAGGCTCTATTCTACACAGCATTCATATGCAAGCAGTCAAATTTGTGGCAAAGTACTAACAAAATGGCAAAAAATATGCATACTAATACCAAAATAGAAAGTTTACATTTACTTGCTTACCTATGAATGAGAAAAGGAAAAATAACTGCTGTCTTCATTCCAACTCCTGAAATAATGCTTTTTACCTGAACTCCTGTGATGCTTAAGATACATAGTGTTCATTTTGCCTCTTGCAAGTTGACTCCCTTATATGGCTAATTATTTTTATAAATGTATAGATTCTATCCATCAATTCCTTCTAGAGTAGTTTTTGTTGGAAGACTAACACTGTGCCTTATGAAGTAGTGCCTATAAATGTTGACTGTAAGCCTACTCTGTTACTGAAGATTTTAATATGGCATATTTTTCTCATTCATGTTGCTAATACTTGCAGATTTAACATAATTATCTTTAGGTACTTCTAAAAATATTTAAACAGTCTGACCTAGGATTGAGAATGGTAAAACTGAGAACTATCCAGTTGAAGGACACACAGTGAGCAGTGGTAAGAACGGGGTAAAAGATTAGCAAGGTTGAAAATTAAGAGGAGATAAAAAGAAAAATTAAAGAAGCTGGGAAACCAGATGGGTGGCTAGTATGAGTTTTTTTTTTTTTTTGAATGTTATGGGAACTACAACTAAAAGATAGAGGCCCTCCTGGCTGGGTGTGGGGGCTCTCACCTATAATCCTTTCACTCTGGTAGGCCAGAGGAGTGGATTGCTTGAGCTCAGGAGTTTGAGAGCAGCCTAAGCAAGAGAGAGACCCCATCTCTACTAAAAATAGAAACGAAGACCAGGAGCAGTGGCTCACACCTATAATCCCAGCACTCTGGGAGGCGGAGGTAGGTGGATTGCCTGAGTTCAAGAGTTCGAGACCAGATTGAGCGAGAGTGAGACCCCTGTCACTAAAAACAGCCAGGTGTTGTGGGAGGTGCCTGTAATAGCAACTATTTAGGAGGGTGGGACAAGAGAATTGCTTGAGCCCAAGAGTTTGAGGTCGCTGTGAGCTGTAACGGCACAGTAGGCACTCTACTGAGGGCAAAAAAGTGAGATTCTGTGTCCAAAAAAAAAAAAAAAAAAAAAAAGAAAGAAACATATTAGGAAAGCATTGTGGCAGGTGCCTATAGTCCCAGCTACTTGGGAGGCCAAGGTAGAAAGATCACCTGAGTCCAAGAGTCTGAGGTTGCTGTGAGCTATGATACCAGGGCATTCTATCCAGTGCAAGAATGAGACTTTGTCTCAAAAAAAGAAAAAAAAAAAGGCCCTTTCTTGAAAAAAAAATAGAATTGGAAAATGGGCCCCCTACCTACCAGTTGGTTGTATCCTAGTAATGACATCCAGTATCCCCTTTACACAAACACTTGTTCTCCAATTTGCCACAGTCCCTGGTGAGCCCTCTCAGCATAAAGACTGTCAGCTGCCATTTATCATTATGCTCGTA